GGTCCTCTCGCCTCTCCTGTTCAACATTTATATGAAGCCACTGGGTGAGATCATCCGTGGTTTCGGGGTGGAGTTTCATCAGTACGCAGATGACACCCAGCTGTACATCTCCACCCCGGACCACCCCAACGATGCCGCGGAAGTGATGTCCTGGTGCCTGGAGGCCGTGCGAGTCTGGATGGGGAGGAACAGGCTTCGAATCAACCCGTCCAAGACCGAGTGGCTGTGGTTTCCGGCGTCACGTCATAGCCAGTTGGTTCCATCTCTGGCTATCGGGGGCGAGTCATTAGCCCCCGCGGAGAGGGCTCGCAACCTGGCCGTCCTCCTGGATGCTCGGCTGTCTTTAGACGATCATGTGACGGCCGTGGCCAGGGGGGCTTTTCATCAGGCTCGCCTGATACGCCAGTTGCGCCCCTTTCTGGATCGGGACGCCCTACACACAGTCACTCAAGCCCTCGTTGTTTACCGCCTGGACTATTGCAATGCTCTCTACATGGGGCTCCCCTTGAGGTGCACCCGGAGGCTCCAGCTAGTTCAGAATGCGGCTGCGCGGGGGATTTTGGGGGCCTCTAGATGCTCCCATGTAACACCTCTCCTGCGAGAGCTGCACTGGCTGCCGGTGGCCTTCCGGGTGCGCTTCAAGGTGTTAGTAACAACTTTTAAAGCGCTCCATGGCAATGGACCTAGGTATTTGCAAGACCGCCTCCTACCAAACACCTCCCTTCGACCAGTCTGCTCCCACAGAGAGGGCCTCCTTAGAGTGCTGTCGGCCAGACAATGCCGGCTGGCGACCCCCAGGGGGAGAGCCTTCTCTGTGGCAGCTCCTGCCCTCTGGAATGACCTACCCCCCGACCTACGTACAGTTGCAGACCTGTGCCTTTTTCGCTGAGCCCTGAAGGCCCATCTATTCCGTGCGGCCGGCCTGGCGTAGTTTGATTATGTTTCAGTGGGGGGTTTTTTACGGGTGTGTTTTTAGAACAGGCCTGTTATTTAATTCGATTTTAAAACAAACTATTTATTATCGTGGTTTTTAGTATTGCCTGTTCACCGCCCTGAGTCCCGCAAGGGAGATAGGGCGGTATATAAATTTAATAAATAAAATAAATAAATAAAATAAATCAATCAATTCCAACTTCTTCTGAAAAAAAAAATCTCACGAAGTTGGAATTGATTGATCTTTTTTTTTAGTCCCACAAATTTCTTTTGTTTGTGGGACTACACACGACAGTAGAGGAGTGACAGAAGACTGCGCTGGAGCTGGAAAGGTGTTGCATGGGTCTGACTGGGGGCGGGGGCATTTCTGCCATGCATCAACCGGTTCGCCGAACTCAAAAGAAATTAGCTACCAGTTCTACCGAACCGGTGTGAACCAGCTGAATCCCACCACTGTATTTCCCCCAACCTTTTCCCTTATTTCATAAACAGCTGTTTGTTAGTCATTGCACATCTCGTATTTCCTAATTTAAAAAAACAGTTTTTAGTTACTGCATATCTAAGCATTTCAGAAAAGCTTTAATTATAGCATATTGATACAATATAATTGGTATGTGTCCCAACTTTTGAGGTATTTGCGTCTATTTAAAGTTAGAACAAATTTTAAAAAATATTCAAATCTATACCATAGTACTGTATTAACCCATAATTAAAAAGATTGTTTACTGTCATGAAATAATTCAAATTATAAAGAATTGTAATAAAGATATCCCTTTAATATTTTTTTTAAAAAGCCTTACCAAAGTCACACAATTTCAAAATATCATTGTGGCTTATTAGGAGATTTTCTGGCTTAATATCTGAAATATTCAAACGCATAGCAAAAAGTTAATGAATTACAACATATACACTGTTCTGCATTAACATGCAACTGAAATAGTATAGCATGTTATTTATTTACTGCATTTATACTCACCATTTTTCCAAACACTCAAAATGGCATATTTTGGAAGAGAGGGTTTGCCTAATTTTAATTCCACAACAATAGCCTTATGAGGTAATTGGGCTGAGAGAGAGTGACTGGCCCAAAGTCACCCAGCTGATTTTTATGCCTAAGGGACACCTAGAATTCATAGTCTCTTGTTTCTAGGCCAGCACCTTAATCACTATAGCAAACTGGCTCTATTTTAAATTCAGGAAAATTTTTGTAAGGAACCTTCAGCAAGAGACGTAATGGCCAAACTTCAAATTGAAGTTGTGAGTGCACCAAAGCCAAAGTTTTTAAGAAGAGATTGGACAACCATTTGTCTGAAATGGTATAGGGTTTCCTGCTTGAGGAGGGAGTTGGATTAGAAGACTTCCAGGATCCCTTCAAAATGTTATTCTGATGAATTTTAGTAGATAATGACTTCTCAGTTTCCAGAAGTTACTGAACCATGAACATAGAATAACCAATACAATGTATATTGGAATAATACTTACCAAGTTTAACTAAATGTCTATACCAGAGGTCCCCAACCTATGGGCTGCAGTCCACTACCGGGCCGCGGCCTCTTGACCACCTGGCCGTGTGAGTGGCTGGCCAGTGTATGCGTGCATGTTTGTGCGCTCACCTCTTGCACTTGTGCCAGCGCTAGCTGAGCCTCGAATCTCATGCCAGCGGTAGCCGATCCGCAAGCTGCAAGCCTCTCACCGGTGCTAGCCAAGCCATGTGCCATGCACTGGCGCTAGCAGCCATTTGTGGAGTATGCATGCTCACAGTCCCGTTCATGTGCATGCAGCCATATTTGTGTTTGTGCGCATGCGCACATAAAGGTGCCTGTCCCTCCCTTTCCCACCGGGCCGCCAACCCAGAAAGGTTGGCGACCTTTGGTCTATACTAAAAGAAAGCTTAATACTAGTCTAGGGGAAAATATTTAGTTTTTAAACCTGAAGTTCAGTAACCAATTAAATTCAATTATGAATACATTTTAGTGAAGATACAATTAAAAATTTATAAAGAATCATCAGAATAAAGAAATGTATTAATGTATTAATAAAGAGACATGAGCAAAATAAAAATTACAAATTATTCACAAAGAGTAAGTTACTTAGACTCATTAAAATAAGTGGAATTTCTTAGCTAACTCCAATCAATTTTACATTAGAAGTGTGGGGATGTGTTTTTTTACTTATTGTAAAGAAAATTTTGCCTCATGTATTATTTTAAATTAACAGATAATAAATGTACAATAATTGGTGAATAATTCCTTGTTAAAACTTATTTATACTTTCAGAAAAAGATATATTCTAAAGTTTAATGTATGCTTACCTCTATGAACAATATCATTTTTATGACACCAATGAATTGCTTTAATCAGCTGGTAGATATAACTTTTTACTTTTTCAGGAGGTACTCCATTTGGCATTTCTTCTAGCAACTCAAGCATATTCTACGTTCAACATAATTAAAGACAGAAAGAACTAAATTATAAATTCTGCAATTTATTCACTACCTAGAAATGTGTTAAACAACCATTGATGGCTATGTAATATGGTGCTCTTATACAAGAGGAACCAAAAGAAGCATTCAACATGATTATGTAATTTATACAATATAAGAGGCAAATAAAAATATTTTCTAAAAGCAGCAAAGCACTACCAATGCATAAAACAAAATCTACCAATGCATAAAACAAAATGTAAAGCAGTAAATGATATTCTCTATTAAAATAACAATCAGCAATGGTATTATGTTATAAATCTGTACATCTACTATAGAGCAATTCAATTGGTTTTAAGAAAATGCATATTCACTGGTTTCCCCCTAAGAATAATGTGTTTGTTTGAATGTGGTTTAGCTGCTGTGACAACTTAACCACTGTAGTTTATAAACTATAGCTTATACATTAGCTTATTGCATAAATCTAGGACTATTGCTTCATCAGTTAACTATATTTAAACATAGTATGCCTTATTTAATATATAAAACAAATTATATTTACTTTCCAGTAAAAAAGGTAAAATATAGTTGAAGGCTGTTTTCAGGCATAAAGAAATAAAACAGGATAAACTTTATTCCCCCAATATCAAATTTTAAGTTGATCAAAAAGAAAAATTATTGCAAAGACTTAGTATTTCTTAATATTACTAAGACTGCTATAGAATACTAATGACAGTGTATAACATTTTTATACATAAAACATATTTGAAGTTTAGCAAGCATTAAGGAACATATTAGCATCTTTTGTCTAAATAAGTAACTTACTTTCTCTACATATTCAAACACCAAATACAGTTTTCCTCTTCTTCTAAAAGCTTCTTTTAGTTCTACAATATTTTCCTGCTTCAAAGTGCGAAGCATTTTAAGTTCTCGTAGAGTTGTCTCTTTGACTTCTTCATTTTCTATAAGTTAAAGAGTAAAAGTTTATAAAATATATGCATCTCTTTTCCCAAAACCTGTAGAAAATCTTTGTGAACAGTGTGGTTCAAAATTTCACAAAAAGCAAGTTTCATATTAAGCTATAAAAGTTTCTTTTATTTTGGATTAGCGTAATGGAAGCTATTTGGCTAAATCATTTTAACTCAGCCACTATGGATTATTCAAACAAATCACTTTGCTTTACATAAGAATCTTGCAATAAATATTTATAATTCAAGCTATCCATCAAAATTATGAAAAACATAAATTTAATTTGAATTTCTTTTCCCCTTAATAAAATTGCAAAAACATTGTGCACTATTTGTTAATACATTTCATTAGTGAGATATGACTATTACATTGGTAAAAAACAATATTATATTATCGTTATTAGTATATTACAACCTTTTATCTATAGTGAAATAGTTTTTCAAGAATATTACATTTTACCTATTAACAAATACTATTAGTAGTAAAAGTTATACGTGGCCACGACATAACAATTTAGTATACTATTGTAAGATTAGCTATTATAACAAAAATGTTTATAACAGATTGACAGTAAATAATAAATCCCACAATTTATCTTTCTCTTCCAAACTATTCTTCTTCAGCTACTCTTATTTTTCAATGTTTTTATTTATTTATATTTATTTTTCATAATTTTTAACTATCCATCTCCCTCAAAGAAGGACTCTGTTGTTGAGCCATGTTAGATAAGTGTTACTCTAAAATTCTGCCTGAGATAAAAGCACCTAAAAAGAATTTTTGGCACTTTTTTAAGGAAAATACATTATCCAGAAAAAATGGTAAGTGTCTGTGTATTTATAGTCCCAGGTCAATAGAGAAATGCTTATTTGTTGTGCAAAATATGATCCCAAATGAGGTACTGCACTGAATACAGACTTTTTGCTTAAAGTTTTAATATTGCTAAGCATAAATATTAAAACAATGGCTGGTACAGCTCTATTTAGTGAGAATTAATCCTGAGTGAATATACTAAAAGAATATTCTTACACTGAAGATAAACTCCTTTTACAAGCATTAATACACTAAGGTTTCCAAAACCAAGCTAAAGTAAAGTCAAGAGAATAAAGGCCAAATAGAAAGATAGGGAAATAATTTGTATAAACATTAATCTCATGCTTTTATATGAAAATAGCAATCCAGAAGAGGGGCACCAACAGCCCTGGAATTAGGCCATTGGTGTCAGTACATAGGCTTCTTATAAGACAGAGGAAAAAGTATTCTTGCTGGCTTTGCACCTAAGGTGGAATTAGAACTCAGGCTCCCTGTTTCTAGGTTGATGCCTTAACCAGTACAAATAGTCCTTACTTATCAACCACAATTGGGACTGGAATCTCAGTGGTTGAGTGAGGTTATATCATTATATCAGTAATAATCATTGTGAGATGTTACATGAATGCCCATATAACTGCTGCACTCAAAGATTGTAATCCTAATTGTGGTTAAATGATCACACAGGTCCTAGATCAGGAGCATGGGGTGCCTCTGGGGAGTGATTGGAGACTCCACACAGGAGCTGAAAATGCTCCTACCAAAATCCAAGCAGGATGTTCAGCCCCTGAGTGAAGAAACATATGGTCTGCGCCAAGACTCCTGGGCCTAACCCACCCATTATCATGATGCTTCTCTGCTCAGAGGCTGAAAATCCTGCTTGGATTTTAACTCCTTCTTGTCTAGGATCTGGCTGAAAGAGTTGCCTGCTGAAGGATAGTACTTTCCCTCCATCTGCATAGCGGAACTCCTTTTGCAAGGTGCAGAAACAGAATTTCTGCACATATACACCAAGAGGATGTCAGCTCTCCTCTGTGGGTGGAAGGGAATGATGATGCAGGGGTGCAGAAATGAACTTGGATCTTCAGAATCTGAGTTCCATTTCTTCACCCTGCCGAAGAAGTTCACTCAGCCCCCTGTAACCAGAAGAAGCCCTCTTGGCAGGCAACAGAAGCTTGCCAATTCTCTGCTGACTTTCCCATTGACTTTCAGTCATTTGCAGAGAAGATTGCAAATGGCGATCACAAGATAATGGGGCATTTGGCCACTGGCCCTAAGTGTGAACAGGCTGTCAAGCAACCAGATCATAGTCACATGACTCTGGGGGGGCACATTTTATGATGTCCGGAACTGCTTTCAAGGCTGTAAAACATCCTTTCCAAGGCTGTCAGAACTTTCAATGTTCATTAAATGACCAATCATAAGTGGAGGACTACTTGTACACCAAATTGGCTCTCAATTCATTTCAGGTTCAACGCAAAATGAAAGAATATTTGTTATTAGTGCCAAGAGATCCTCTTCCAGAACCCTTAAATGTGAAGCCAGAACCAGGAGATATTATTTGCTAGTTATTATTTCTTCAAGGATCTAGAATCATCCACAGTTCAACTACATATTAAGTCCTGTTGGTTTTTCAGAATTAAATTTCTGCTCATATGTACGTATAACACAGAGTAGGCAGACTATGATTCAGCTATCTAGATAAGTAATAAATTGCTTATCAGGAAACATTTCAGATTATTCAGATTTATTCTGAATATACAGTAGTCAAATCATAGTGAAATCTGTCTGAAACAGGCCAATACCATAGTAAGAACAATTTTAAAAATGCTGATTGTATTTTCTAATGAAACAGAAGCTTATCAACAAATTCAGTGTTTATTACTGCAGTCTCACATATCTGGAGGTGCCAAGTTGAGAAAGGCAGGTCTGAACAAATACAGAAATGTAAAAAGCTTGTATATTAAGGACTATCTCTAGCATCTATCTAACATGTTTTGAAATAAAACTCTAATCTCTTCAAAGTTGATATGTTGACACAGGACAATAAATTCTTAAACTCCTACTCCTGCATTATCCTAAATCTTGAATAAGAACCCATTAAATAAAAAAGTAAATGTACTATGTGCCAACAGAAAAAAGTACCTTCGCTATCTTTGAATTTTTTAATGGCCACAATTTCATGTGTCTCCTAGAAAAGAAAGGAAAAAAGATAGGATAATCATATTGTTAGTTAGTAAATACCTGACACCATTTTGTGGTACAGATTTCTAGTCACGCATAGAGTTGCAAGTTGAAGCAGAACTTTTATAGCAATTTTTAAAGCTGGAGAATGGCTTTCTACCAAATTATTTTAAAATTAGTTTATACTTGATGAGATAGGATTTTGTTCTTGCTGGTAGTTTTCAGAGCAACTGAATAAAATTATTTCTGGTATTGATTTGTATACTTGCAAGGAAGAGAACTGTATAAAAGTATTTATTAATCATCTTAAATTTTATTTTTATTGTCACAAATCTTCTCAGTACATATTATTATGAATTTTAAAAATTTAATAATCCAAAAAATACCTAAACTAGATTTAAAAAATATATTAGGCTTTTAATAAAGAGATCAATTTTGAACACTATTCTTAAAGTATTTTAAGAATAGTGTTCAAATTGGAACTCATTTTTAAAAGCCTAATTTTAAAGCAGGCTGGCTACAAGAATATCATAATATAAGTCTGAGATTTTCCTTTCTGCAATGGGAAAGGAGGCAAAATGTGAACAAAATTATAACTATACAAATTTTAAAAAGTGCTGGGAGAAAAAATTATCTTGACTCACCTACCTATATTTTGTCTATCAGCTTTACCTTACTGACATATAGTTTTCTCTTAACTTGTGAGGATAGAACCAAATTTAGTTAGGAAATCTGCTCTTATGTTCTTCAGGGATGCAGAAGCTTGGCATGAAATTTTCTATAAGAGCCTAGTCCCCACCCCCACCCGCCTTTGTAACTGAATTATATAAATTATTTTAATGCTGGTTCTTATAACAGAATGCCCAGTTAAGGTGATAATTGATCCTCCAGATATAATAATAATAATAATAATAATAATAATAATAATAATAATAATAATAATAATAATAATAATAATAATAATAATAATAATAATAATAATAATAATAATAATAATAAAGTTGGAAGGGACCTTGGAGGTCATCTAGTCCAACCCGCTGCTCAGGAGGAAACCCTATACCATTTCAGACAAATGGCTATCTAGACTCTTCTTAAAAACTTCCAGTGTTGGAGCATTCACAGCTTCTGGAAGCAAGTTGTTCCACTGATTAATTTGTTCTGTCAGAAAATTTCTCCTTAGTTCTAGGTTGCTTCTCTCTTTGGTTAGTTTCCATCCACTCCTTCTTGTCCTGCCTTCAAGTGCTTTGGAGAATAGCTTGACTCCCTCTTCTTTGTGGCAGCCCCTGAGATATTGGAACACTGCTGTCATGTCACCCCTCACGTCACCCCACTTCTCTTCGTTAGACTAGACATACCCAATGCCAGCAACTGTTCCTTATATTTTAGCCTCCAGTCCCCTGATCATCTTTGTTGCTCTTCTCTGTACTCTTTCTAGAGTCTCAACATCTTTTTTACATCGTGGTGACCAAAACTTACCAAGGCATTGTAAAGTGGTATTAATACTCCACGTGATCTTGATTCAATCCCTGTTAATGCAGCCTAGCACTGTGTTGGCTTTTTTGGCAGCTGCAGCACACTGCTGTCATATTTAAGTGATTGTCCACTAGGACTCCGAGATCTCTCTCACAGTTACTACTATTGAGCAAGGTACCCCCTATACTATACCTGTACATTTGGTTTTTCTTGCCTAAATGTAGAACCTTACTTTTTTCACCATTGAATTTCATTTTGTTAGATAGCGCCCAATGTTCAACTCTGTCAAGATCCTTCTGTATCTTAAGCCTATCTTCTGGAGTGTTGGCTATTCCTGCCAGCTTAGTGTCGTCTGCAAATCTGATGAGTTCCCTGTCTATCCCTTCATCCAAATCATTGATGAAGATGTTGAAGAGCATTGGGCCCAGAACAGAGCCCTGGGGTACCTCACTACACACTTCCCTCCATGTAGGTGCCACACACTGAGGACCACACACTTCGTACAGCTGGTCAGCCAGCTATGAATCTATCTGGTGGTGATACTGACTAACCCACATTTTTCTATCTTATCAAGTAGTAGGTTGTGGTCTACTTTATCAAATGCTTTACTGAAGTCCAAGTAAACAGCATTCCTCTGGTCCACTAATTTTGTCACCTGGTCAAAGAATGCAATAAGATTTGTCTGGCATGATGTTTTTGATAAACCCATGTTGGCTTTTGGTAATGACTTTGTTTGCCTCTAGATTGACCTTCACTAGTTTAGCTCAGACCAATAAAATTAATACTTGGCTGGGAGATCAACATTGTGAATAGCCAAACTTGATTTAGAATGGATTTTATTTGTATTTCTAATAGGAAACTTCATTTTTTCCATGTAATGACATACATTTGGAAAAATCACTATACAAAAAGTTTAAATCCACAATATTATGTTAAATCTTGATGCCCACAAATACTTATAAAGTTTTCTCTTTTGTTTTCATTTACCTATTGTTCAAAGCAAATATTGCTTTCTTGGGCCTGAAACCAGATTTACATTTATGAATGTTTTGTTTGTAAAATAGATACAGTAATACAATACTATCTTGCATTTATCCCCTCAAGATGGCATGCTGAGTGGCAGGGCGATCTCTTTCTCCTGTGATGATCAGCTGATTCTTCTGCCGAAGCTGGCTCTTAAGTGTTGTTGCTCCCCAAATTTGAATGGGGGCACCTAGGAATGATCCAAGATGACTTTTGGATGACTGTGGACCCACCTGAGAAGATGGATCTTGAAGACTGCAGTTTCCGGTAGGAGAGGCCAGAAAGTCAGGTATTCATCTTTTCCTATCAGCTGACCACCTTGGTTTTAATTGCACTTTTTGAGGTTTCTTTTGTACTTTCTTTTTTATTCTTAAAGTTAATGGACTGGTTGAATGCTAATTTATTTTAACCTCTTGCCAGATTTTAATATGAATTTTTCTCTATTCTTTCTTTGTTTCACTTTGCTGCTCTGTATGGAAATCATGGCAATTTTCTAGATAGTGAAAGTAACTGGATTTACATTTATACTGAGTTTTCCCTACAGAGACTTTGCATTTTATCACTCTCAAAAAGCTTTGGTCTTATTTTTAGATCAATTTTCCCCCCTTTTTTCTTTACCTATTTTTACTGTGATAAATATCATTTTAAGGTTCTCTGCAACTATCCTATTAATTACATTTAACTCCCCTGTCCTTGAAGAACTGTTTATTTTTGTTTGCTAAGCTACAGGAAGGTAAACAATGTACCAATTTAAAGGTAAAGCTTTTGGGGAAAACTTGGGGGGGGAAAATATTTTTTAACCTACAAGTTCAAATTGAAGACTTTGGTAAAAAGTTTGATAATATAACAATGAGTTTAAATTAACCTAAAGAAGATATCCAGATACAAGCAACTGCAGCCAAACCAGACTTATATCAGGAGCTTGCTTTGAAAATGATGAATGTATTTGAGAAGGCTAAAAGGGATGTATACTTTACAGAATCAGAGTTGACAGAATTGATGAGTGATAAATCAGATTTTCCTAAGAAAACTGATGGAAATTGGGGAATGGACATATTATATCCAATTGGAAAACAACTTCAACTAAATTTTTGGGGAGAATGGATCGAATTTGGAGAATGGATTTTTATATTTAACCAGACAACAATTGACAAGAGATGTTATATTTTTGTTTACAGAGAAATGTTTTGAACAACAGAAGCTGTGGAGATACTCACAGCAGAGTTTTATGACTTTAGGGAATAAGATGCAATTGTTGGGAAACTCCCTAATCAAAATTTTAAGGAAAAGCTTTATTATTAAGAAGCAAATGAAGATATTTGATCCTGGATGGATCAGAGATAACAGCTGTGGTAGTTTGTGATAGATACAAAGCTGTAGTAGACTTTCTACAAGTTCAGTACAATAATAGATTGTTTTTTTTAACAATATTTTATTATTTTTTTATAATCACAAATCCTTAATATTTTATCAGCAACATGTTGTCTGGGTTCAAATATTTAGCTTACTAATACATGTTAAACTCCTTTCTCTCTACCTCATTTTTCTAGCGGCTAGCCATTGATAAAAATGTATCCCACATTCTAAAGTATTCTGAATCTTCTTTCTCTTTCATTTTCAGTGTAAGTCTGTATATTTCTGCACATCCAAACTTTTCTTAATTATTTCTCTCCCCATTGATAATTCTTCATCTTTCCAATGTTGAGCAAATACAATTCTTGCTGCAGTTAGTACATGTAACATTAAATATACACATTCTTTCTCATAATTTCCTACAATTATGCCTAACAAAAATAATTCTGTCTTAAAATCTACATTTTTTTTAATCGTTTTCTCTAACCATATATGTATTCTTGACCAAAATCTTTTGGCTTTACGGCATATCCACCAAAGATGATAGTATGTGCCTGGTTTTTGTCTACATTTCCAACAATTGCTAGACATATTTTTGAATATTTTTGCTAACCTCATAGCACCTCATAGGTGTTAAGTGCCATCTGTAAAACATTTTATATAGGTTTTCTTTGTAAGCCACCGCCTTTGTTATTTTAGAGTTTCTTTCCCAAAGACTTTGCCAGTTTTCTAACTCTATGTTATGCCCCAAGGTTTTTGCCTATATTATCATTGTTTCTTTAACTTGTTCTTTTCCATCTTTAAACTTAACATATGAATGTTTCTTATTCAATTAAACTTAACATACAGTTTCTTATTCAATTTTTCATCTGATGTCAATAGTATCTGGTCAAATTCTGTTTGTTGTTTATAAAATCCAGATGTTTTAGCATCTTTTTCATATCTTGTTTGAATTAGCAGGTGTGGCCACCATGATAAATCAATGCCCTGTTCTTCCAATTCTTGTCTAGATTTTAGTTTCTCTTCAACATTCAAAATGTCTTTATAAGTCACAATTTTCTCATAGTTAATTAAGTTTGGGTGAACAAATGCTTCCATTGTTGAAAGCCATCCAGGTATTTTCAAGTAAATTTTCGCTTTTACCTTTTGCCATTGTAG